AGTTCGATACATAATACAGTTTATCACATACCTATAGATCAATCATCTGTTTCTGATGTACCGAATCAGCCGTTAGGCAATATTGACACTAATAATAGTATCGGCTTCAAGTTATTTATCGGGACTGCTCTGCCCGTGGTTGCTCTTTCATTCTATAATGGTTCTTCCGGCGTAGCCTTGCCAACTTATATTCCTACATGAACTGAAAAAAGAAAATAGAATATGATTAGTGAAAGAATGATGCTGATCGGATCGTATATTATCACAAAATTCGGATCTCTTTGAGTTAGAGGATATGGAAATGAAGGTTATTCAAATGGAGGTGAATGAGGGGTCCTATGTATGGGGTGAGTTCAAATTGCTATTTATTCATAAAGATGAGATGGAAGAAGTGATTCTTTTTCAATATTTGTTCGTGTAGTCGATTCAGACTACTACCTCTCTGTATATATTAGACCCCGTGATAGACTGATTCTTATGGCTCTAACAGATTTTCTTCTCAATACCTTGACTTATTCTTATTTTTTGGATTCATCCTTTGCCTATCTAGAAGATCGTGATCTGCTTTCTTACATATCAACAATTGTAGGCTGGGGTCCTGTAGAAGTAGTTATCCTTGTTGATCTAGAAAGGTCAATCTCTACGCTTTCCCGTTCTCGTCTCATGGCTAAACTCTCAAGCGCTGTGAGGGATCCCTTTATCGTCCAACCTTTTCTCCTCTTTCTTCAATTCCCCACTACTCACTAAAATGGGTCCTACCCCTGATTTTGGCTCGGAAGGCCTTCAGGTACCGACATCAGTCCTGTCTTGCTTAATATCTTTTTAGATCACTTTGATAGGGCTTTCCGATCCCGATTTCCCCAGCTTCCTTTCGCTCGCTATTGTGACGAGATTCTAGTCCCAATCCGCGTAGACAGACCGGAGGATGGATCTATAGAAGATATAGTTCCCATTATGGTCTCATTACTAGAAGAATTCGAATTGTCTGCCCGTTACCTAATTGACTTATGCCTACTCCGGATTAGTGAAAATAGCCCTAGCTAGATTATCAAGCTCTCCTCCCGTAAATGCATTCTTTTTGAATGAAGACCCTGTAGCTGTAGCAAAGGAAGAAAGCGTAGAGGCTCTGCCTGATCCCCTGAGATGGAACAACTTCTGACCCTAAAGAAGGGCTGGCTAACGGAACTATAATAGAATATATCATTCCTGCAGGACCTCTTTCTCTCAATAGGGGCATTTCTATCGAGTAGTCACTCATTCTGTACTGACTCGGAAATAGGGGAACTTGCTTATTCGCCAGCTTGGGTTTCGGTTGCAGATGCGATTGATTATGCCATTCTTGCTTTCGGTGGAATAGAATGATGAAGATCTAGGTATGCACATGATGAAGGGAGAGGCCAAGTGATGGGTTACGGTTCTGCGACAGGTGAAGTTTCGGTTGGTGAGCCTATGTCCTTTATTAAGGGAAGAAAACTTGTCCAATCTAAGCTAAGGCCCGTGTCAAGTCAACCATACCGGACGGATCGGTGAAATACCCTCAACAGGGTGAACTTCGAGTGAAGATTGAGCTGTTGATGTCACATATCCGCTGTCAAATTAGCAATCTATCGTACAGAAGGTCTTGGGGAATTCCTTACATCAAGGTAGTATGCCAGCCATGAAAAAGTTTGGATTGTGCCCTAGTTGTCGCGCTCTTACCCGGGTGCTGCCATTTGTTTGCCTTGTTCGGGTTTCAAATCTTTCTCAAAGATAGATGATTGTGGGTCCTGAGAGGTCGATTCATCATCATGATTATTGGAATGAAGAGGCTTTGAGGACCTTCCTTCTAAGGAGAAAGCGCGAACTTGTCTCTGTATATCAACCACTAAAAAAAGAGGGTTCACCATCGGTTCATTGGATTCCGGGCCGAATGAATCCAGTGCATGATCCGTAGGGGGGTCTTTATTATCAACAAAATTTCTGCCAACTAGTTCCTCTTCCTGCTGTCCCCGTGAGGCAGAGCTACAGCCGGGGCTGCCCGAAGGCGATTTTCCAATAGCTAAATACTCCGGTTCTTGAAGAACAGGAGCTTGGGGATTGTTATCTGGTTCAAGCTCTTCGCCCCGAGGACCATCTTCAATGGTTTGCATGTCAGCGAATCACGAAGGCTAACTTCAGTGATAGCAGCCTTCAAAGCTTATGGATTGGTTGGGTTATTCGCATGAAAAAAAACCGGAGCATTATTTGCAGCTTCAGCCACACCAGCATTCACCTCAGCAGGTGCATTTTGAACAATAGCCGCATTATCAGCAGCAGGCATCCTTTCAGTGGTAGGTGCTGACCATATTGGTAGCATTGGTTCTTGGAACATAGGCCATTCTCGGTGACGGATTGACAGCAGGCTCCTTATTTGCCACTTTGCATTCGTAACGGGCATGACCTTGTCGTCTGCAATGCGTGCAGAACTTAGGTATTCAAAAAGAAAGGATTTCTTGCTGGCGATCCATAGACAGTAGATCTAACCCAAAGATTCTTTTTTAGGTTTTCCTTGAGAAGACCCCCACTTCTACACAAACCCTAGCTACGTTGGGACGTGAGACAAGCTTCGTAGGACCATAAAGGTCAGGCCAATTACGAAAGTAGAGCCGATAGAAAACAGGCGAAACTCAAAGAAGAAGACAATAAGCAGATGGCCCTATAGAAGTGGGATCTCAATTCCTCGTTTTTGACATGCGGAAATGCTATTTGCTAGTTTTTCCAGAGGAAGGGGAAGGATCGGCCGATCGATACCGTATGGAAAGAGGAACAAGAGAAGAACGAAGCCCTACATCGATGTTTGAACCGGGGTATTGAAAATGTGGTATTGCTTCACGCGGTCTCAGTCTCAGTAGGATTGTGAAAACCTTGCTCCGATATGAGTTTAGAAGTATCTAGGGAAGTCCCCTATAATCTAAAGAAAGCTGGAGATTTGGACCTTTCGATTATGGTTGTTACCGAGCTGCGGGTATTTGACTAGGAAAACCGTTCCACTCTTCTCTCAATGTCAGTGCTGGGAGATCGGGTACAGCGGGATCACTTTTCAGCTTGTTAGTCTGCTATCGCTTCCTCGGATGCCATGATAGTTGATGTAGTAGAATCTCCTGCTTTTGCCTAAGCATCCGCCATCGAATAGTTTGCAGTCGGAGGAGTCTGCCATTGCTGAATCGCTCGCTGACGCCTCAACAGATGCTCTTGCTGAGCCCTTATTAGATAAAAGTTTACTTTGGTCTATCCCTTAATGGGCTCTCTGCTTGAGAGTAAAGCACGGCAAAAGCCTTCCGCGCCACAAGGACAAGTGGCAACTAGGTGAATTGGGAAGAAGCCACCTCTGGCGTAAAGAAAGGGGGGTAGTAGTTAGACTTATTTATTAGCTTCAGGGGCCGCCAATGGCTATTTCATATCTCGCTGTTGATGGATCTTCTGCTCCTGCTGTCGAATAATCCGCTCTTGCTCAATCGTCGGCTATTGCCATAAACATAAAGAATTTGGGCCTAAATCCAATGCAAAATACTTATATAGCGCGCGCTTTGGCACGTTAAGCCAATCAACGTGATGGGTAGGAGCTTAACCCATCGTTTGGCATCCCAATGATGGGGTTATTCTATCTGTGGGAGCTACTAAGTGACATTACAATCATTTAATTGAACCGGGAGTCCCTTTGTTATAAAGATATCGTACTAACCCCTTTTTTTTAGCTATTTTTTACTTTACCGAGGTTAGCAGGTGAGGATCCGGAAGGATATTAAATAGAAGCTAGTTTCGTCAGGTAAGTAGATCTAGTTTAATAAAAGAAGTAGAGCTAGTTTACTATTAAGCCGTATCTTCTTTAGGGTATCATTCAATCAATTTCCCTTGGAACGGTCGATATGACGGGAACTTTGGCACGCCATACTGCCACGCCGGCTACATACGGGAATCGAACTCATGGCCGTGGATGTGGGTATCCTCTTCTACTAATGATATTATTGTAAGGGACATTGGCAGGCTTCATTCCTAGCATCCATGCGTGTTTGACTATTTATTTAGAACGGCTGCTTTTAGGAGTGATCGTCCCCTGCTTCTATTAGTAAAAACGGAATACAATACCGAGATGGAACTTTTTTTCCACTTGCTTTATCTAAAAAGGCGTCTGCCTATCGTGAAATAGCTTAGAGAAAGCTCATGGGAAAAACACACTTTCTCTGCCCCGCTCGCAGGGATCTAATTTGATTGACAGACCAAGAAGGGAAACAAGCTTTTAGACCGGAATGAGTACCACAGGATTGAGAGAGATGGCAGGATGCCAAGCAAGCCAGTTGGAGACTTCATACATAAAGAATAGACTTATACATTCCCAGCAGACTTTGACAGGTGTTTCAGGACCGGTTGTAAATAAGTATTAGCGTGACAGACCCTGGGCCTTTGAATCGTAGATACCATCTCTAATAAGCGGGGGTGAACCTCTGCTCCGAACGGCTGTAGATGCATTGATAGAAAGACAAGCAACCGAACACCCAAGAGAGGAATCTAAGTGATCCTCTAGGGACTCACTATAGACAACAATGTCATCAAGATAGACAACAAGAAATAAAGAAATAGAGTTCTAAGTTAGAAAAGACATCACTCATCAAATTACATAAGGTCATTTGTAAGCCCAAATGGCATGACAAGGAGCACGGCCTCAAATGAAATTCTAATTTGTCACCAAAACCACGTATAGATTCGATACTTGTAGCTTGATTCTTTACTCATTCCATACTGGGCAGGAAATCGTCGATAACACTTATTCCTATTTCTTTCTCAATGATATCCGCCGTGAAACTCTTTCATTTCATAGAAGTTCTTTCTTATTCTTACGAAGCAAATAGCATTTCCTATTGATTTGTCCCCCTGGACTGGAACCTATCTTAATTATCCGTCGCTACGCTGTTCCCAAGGACTAGCAAAATCGAAATAGCGAAATTCTTGGGTCATCTCAATGGGTTCAGAAACCACACGTTTCTCTGGATCATCATAGCGTACTTCCACATATCCACTCAGGGGAAGGTCTTTTCGTAATGGATGACCCTCGAAACATAATCTGTTGATATACGGCGTAGATCCGGATGATTGATGGAAGAAACACCAAACATATCCCAAACTTCTCGCTCCCACCGGCCGGCTGATGGAAATAGACTGACTACCGGAGATATTCGTGTTACTTCGTCTGCACTGGTTTGTACACGAATGCGTGAGTTATACCGAATACTCAGTAAATTATAGACCACTTCAAATCTTTGTTTTCGAGAGGGATAATCAACTCCGCAAATATCGATCGAAACTTGAACCCTTGTATAGGTATGAAATTGAAGAAAGCACAACAATTGAAATAGGTAGTCCGTCTTGTATAAGATATATTCCCATGTTCCGATCTTTCCATTTTTTTTTACCCATTTCTTGGGTAAAGTCTCCCAACTATATTTGAAAATGAATTGGTTATCCATAAAGATAAAGAAAGTTTTCTTGTAGTTCCGCTTCTTGCAAAAAAAAGGAAGAAAGGCTTGTTGTAAATCGCCGGTTAGTCCAACCAAAAAAGAAATGGGATTTTTTTTTGTATCACAATTTCATCACTACATGAATCAGAACTTTCAACAATAAACAAAAAAGAATTTTATGGGTCGAGAATCAAAAGTTTTTCTCTGAGAGAGGCGTTTTCCTCGCTTAGAAAAGCGTTCCTTCTCTCAAGACTCTCAATAGATTTGGAGAACTCTCGGCGCAATCGGGCTTGGTGCTTTTGTTTTAAAAAGCCCTGGAAATGTTCTGCCTGCGTCGTTTTGACTTCGCAATAGAATGGGGATTCTTGTCCCTCGTTACACAAGCTTTGCAAGACCTGGCATAGAGCGGGGTGATCGAATTCTAAGGGTTCAAGGTGTACCCTCAGTATGGAATCCAGGTCGATAGGATCAATGAATAATTGGGGATCCTCCCTACTATAAAAAATGAGTTGATAGAGAGAGGAAATCTGGTCCCGAGTTGCAAAGCAGAATTCCGTTTCCAGGAAATTTCGCACCATGACCTCGTACTCCCTGGGTGAGAGTCCCTGGGTTTGTAGGCGCTGTCGTACGAATTGAACCCATTCTGGGTCTTTATCCGCTTGATTCAGATAGTTCTCCAGGAGCCGTAGCTCCGATGGGAGAATACCAAATATGGAATGAAGTACAATTCCATCAAATAAGTTAGAATAGAGTCTCTCTCCAAAACTGAGAAAGAAATAAATAAATATTACCCATTTCATAATAGAAAGAGCCCGCTGTAACTTGGGCCTTGTTAGATAGTAGCAAAATACTTTAACTTCCAAATCAAAAAGGAGAGAGAAGAACTTATAGAAAGTAAAGAGGAAAAGGCATAACCAGAAAAAAGGTGTGAATTGATCTAGTTGAGGCATGATTGATTCAGTGATGTGACTTCTCCTGCTCCAGTCAATCAGTCTGGAGACTTGCTAATTCAATGAAATCGCCTTGGTTTTTCCAAGGAAAAATACCGCCAAGAAAACTTGCATGTATTAAGCATCTAGCCTAACTAGCATGATTGAGCCCTGCAGTGGTAGAACCTGGTGAACCGGGCTATTTGACTCTTTCTTTACGCTATTTCGTCTTTCTATAGAATACGAAGAGAGGACCTTCTTTCGGGCTGTCTACGAACCCTTCTTCTCGTATGCAATTTTCTATTCTTTCTTTGAACCAAAAGATAAAGGGAAAACACTGGCCAATTTCACACTTTCCATTTTACCCAAGACACTCATTCGTTTCAGGAACAGGAGAAAGGATCGGGTCTTTCAGCTAAAGATCAATATAGAAAGCAGAGTCCAAGGTACATGTGTAAAGCATATAACAACATATCATATGCCAATAAGTATCTTTCGAGAGCATTATAATGGTATGCCCAGCTAACTAAGGGACATACCAAAGATTGGGACCTTAAGTGGTAGAACCCGGTGAACCAGGCGTACTACTGAACATTGATTCTCTCTCCTGAACTAGAAATAATTATTTATAGCTAGCAACTAAAAAAAACTACAAGCAACTACATAAACAACCCTGGGGTCAATTGAGTAGTCCGCCCTACCTACTAATTGACTCAACTAAGCTTGCATCTTACTATAGGGTTTTCTATAACCTCAGACTCTTAGATAGAGAGTTTCAAACACCCCAGTGGGGAACTAAACTGCTGGCCATTCCCTAACCTATCTATATATACGCTGGCAACCTTACTCGGATGAACTGGGCAAAGGTTCGTAGCGCTTACCATTCTTTGTGATTGCTTATTCGATTCCTAAAAGTGGCTGAAAAGCTCCTCTCCTTATCAGTCGAGTGGCTTTCGCTCCTTTAGCATAATAATTTTAGAACTAATCAATAAGCAAGGAATCTTGACCAAATATTCCACTCTACCTACTCTTTGAATATCTTTCAAAAAATCCTGATAACAAGAATAGTAGCAATATTCATAATCTTCTAGTAGAGTAGAGTTAACAAACTCAAAAGATATGGGACCCGTATTCGAAAAAAGAACTTCGGTTTGATAGTATGGAATCCAGGTCGAGAGGATCAAGTTGATAGCTTTTATTAGCTATACCTCTTTTGATCATATCCACACGAGACTTTTCCATATTAGTAAAAGAATCGAGAGTAAGGCTCTGATAGAGGTTGTCTATCTCAAAACAGAATTGTGGTATTTCTCTACTTACACTTTTCAAAAATGGAACTATAAGATGTTTATTATGAACTAGTATTTCTCTATTTGTTGAAAGGCTTTGTATTATTGTCATTTCTCTATTCCAGACTCATTGTATGAATAAGTAGCCAAATGCGGGAATAGACGGACGTTCGATACGCTTCCCCGAAACTTGGCCATGGCATCTTCCACTTTATATATATTCTCCACGGAACTTTCTCAATTCCAACGCAACTTACCCTTTTGGAGCTTACGTAACAAACTACGCGAGCCTCCCAACGAAGCCAACAGAAATCCCTTCCGAATAAAAAAAATAAAAGGCTTTTTCATTATTGTGGTATACCAGCCGCCTTTTATTCTACTTCCAGTTCCAATCGAAGCATATAGATCCGTAAATAGATTTGTATGTATAGCCACTTCAGTCGTGCTCGTCGTTTCTCGAAAGTATCTTTTTTCTGGGAACATGGTCAAACATAAATGATTTTGTTCGCGATTCTGAAGACTTTTTATACTTATGAGAGAGAAAAAATGCTCCAGTTTTCCATTCTCATATGAGGCCGGAAAGTGGATTGGCAAGAGGTCGGCACGAAGTGATTCATCATGCTCAAACAAGAGCCGATCGTTCGTTAGGGACGGTTTATAGATCATCAAATTCCCACAAATGGAATGAAAAGTGGGTCCATGTAAATGATCGAGACCTCGCAAACAACAACGCTCCTTCCCTATATGGAGTTCGGAACCCAAAGGCAATCGTTGAGTGAACTGTATCTTTTTTGTGTTAGTTGACCTAAGCCGCACCCTTACTGCTGGGGTGGGGCTCGGCCTCCGAACCGTACGTGGGACGAGTTTTTGCCTCATACAGCT